TCAATTTTCAGTTCCTTTTTTTTTTTTTTGTATTAAAAAAACATTTGCCTCCACTTGTTTTGTTTTCTAGTTTCTCACTGAACTGTGAATTCAAGTTTTTGCAAAACTATTAGCAGTGAAATGTGGACATATTTAAAATTCACGTGTGGGGGTAGGAGGGCGTTCAAAAGGAAAGGGGGATCAGGAAGAAAAGTAATACGGATCTTTATAATTATCAAGTGCTAATTTATTGGGCACTGATTAGCTGATAAATATGATCAGAGGATTTTTCATCTATTGCTCAATTATGTTCATGGCTGGAAATGCCTGCTCTCAGTCTTTATTGCAAATGTAGGCAAGCTCTGAGCCCCTGTTGTAAAGAAACTTAAGCTAATATTCAGTGGACTGCCCGAGAACATGTAAGAGTGAGTAAGTCCTTTGGTTTAGAATCCTAATTTCCTGAAACCAGTTCAGTGGTCCTGTATTAATGTCGTATTACTTCACACAGGTCCTTCAATTCATACTCCTCCCATGACTCTGCTCCAAAGGACCTTATAGAATCAGCAATAGTTGGCTACCAAATGATAGCTTCCTAAGCATGAACTCAAAGTTGGACAACTAACACTGATCAAAGGCCTTGTCCCTGATCCATTCATCACTTTTCACTTTTTAAGTACTCTTATCAAGTACTCCTGTATTTCAAAACAGTAGGCTTATATGGTCGTTTCTGGACTCCAAAAGGTTAACTACCATATAAACATTTTCTTCTGCAAAATGAGAATTTTGAACTCTTAGACCTCCCTCAGTTCCTCTCTGCTTTAATTAGATCACAATGTTGAGCTTAAAAGGTGTTTTTTAATTGGTATTAAGTATACTGTGAGGGCTTCCCAGAGGGCTCTAGTGGTAAAGAACCTGCCTGCCAACGCAGGAGACAAAGGAGACATGGATTCGATCGTGGGTTGGGGAGCTCCCCTAGAGGAGGACATGGCAATCCACACAAGTATTCTTGCCTGGAGAATCTCTAGGATAGGAGCCTGGCATGCTGTATAGTCCATGGGGTCTCTAAGGGTTGGAAACGCCTGAAGTGATTTAGCACGCAAGTATACTGTGATTGCTTTTCCTCAGTTTTTTGCTTTGTTTTTTTCTGTGGCTCACTAATTCTTAGCAGTTCCCCCCCAACAGGATTGTAAAACCCTCTTCAGTCTGTTTTCCTCTTGGTCAGATATCAGGTAATCTTAACAGTTCTCACCCTACCTTTCACACCATTCCAAGAAAGAACCCTCTCTTCCTGCTCTAATCTAAGCTAGTTGCATGTTGAAACTATTCTGTTTCTTGATTCAGTTCAGTTGTGTCCAACTCTGCGACCCCATGGACTGTAGCTCGCCAGGCTTCCCTGTCCATCACCAACTCCCGAAGCTTGCTCTAACTCGTCCATTGAGTTGGTGATGCCATTCAACCATCTCATCCTCTTCCCCTTTTCTTGATTGGCTGGATTTAAAAATTCTAGACTAGAAAGAATTGTCTCCACATTGAGTCTCTTATTAATTGGATACTGGACCCTTTTGTTTTCACTGTATTTTTCACCTGTTTTTAAAATTCTACTTTTTAGTAGACTTTTCTACTTATAGTAGACACTTCCTACTTTTCTATTGATGTTTTTAAGATTTGGGATAGCATTTTTAGTTTTGAAGAACTCTACTATACTCCATTATCTCCCCTTTAGGAAAAAATTCTCTTGATTCATGGTTAAAATACCTTTTATCTGAAAGTGTTAGTCACTTCAGTAATGTGCCACTCTTTGCACCCCCTGGACTGTAGCCTGCCAGGCTCTTCTGTCCATGGAATTCTCCAGGCAAGAATACTGGAGTAGATAGCCATTCCCTTCTCCAGGGGATCCTCCCACCCCAGGGATCAAACCCAGGTCTCTGGAATTGCAGGCAGATTCTTTACCATCTGAGCCACCTGAGGATGTTAAAGAGATTTAAAAACAAAACGTTTGTTCTGCTTTCTGTTTCCTTTAGATTCCAAACAGAAAAATGTTTGAAAGTGCTGTTTGTGAGTCCCAAACCTGCTTACTGTGCTGTGATTAGTTGCTCAGTCATGTCTGACTCATTGCGACCGTCGCTCACCACTCTGTCCATGGGATTTTTCAGGCGAGAATACTGGAGTGGGTTGCCATCCCTCCAGGGCATCTTCCCAACCCAGGAATCAAACCAGGGTCTTCTGCTTTGCTGGTGGATTCTTTACTGTCTGAGCCACCAACTGGGGGATGCCAAATATCACCTGTAAATCATTTCTCTGTGGTCTTTCATGTGCTCTGTGACTCCAGAGAAAAACAGGGTTTGGGGGAGAGGGTGATGAGGGGAGTGGGACAGGAGTGCCTTTGTTTTGTGAGGGGCAGAAAAGGGGCCAACAACGTTTTACTATTCAGGATAGTAACTTGCATTCTTCATAATGTGTCTGGAACCTTTCTAATCCCCTATTTTCAACATCTTAAATGCTACACTTCTGCCAGGGGAAGGATGGGTAACAGTCCCAGCTTCACAGGACTGGAGAGAGGACTTACGTGTCTGTTGGATATACAACATAAGCAATGCCCATTTCTAGTCCTGCCTCAACTACTCCCCTGGTATCCAGAACCTTTTGGGAGTTCTGCTTTTGACGCAGTTTTGTTTCTGCTAACTACTCCATCCACGGAGAGGCTTCCTGGTTCAAATAACCACTCTCTAGCAGATTTAACTCTAAAGTGTATCTTTTAGGCTAAAAGGGTTGAAAAAATTAATATGTGAAATGCACTCAGAACAATGCCGGCCATATGTTAAGCATTGAGTAAGTTTCACTGCTCTTGGTCTTCCAAAAACTTATTGACATGTCTCCTGTGCAGTCTTGTTTTCTTTTTTCTTTTTTTTTTTTTTTTAGCTTTGTAGGTTTGTTCCTTTTTCATTCCTTTAAAGGAGCAGGCAGGCATAGGATAAAATTTAACGTCAAGTTCTCTTTAATTTTTAGAATGAGGCTTAAAGACTTACCTGGTGGCTCAGATGGTAAAGCATCTTGCCTACAATGCCAGGGAACCGGGTTCGATCCCTGGGTTGGGAAGATACTCTGGAGAAGGATATGGCAACTCACTCCAGTACTCTTGCCTGGAAAATCCCATGGACGGAGAGCCTGGTAGGCTACAGTCCATGGGGTCACAAAGAGTTGGACACAGCTGAGCGACCTCACTTTCTACTTTATGGGTGACTCTGAACACTGTAGCAGGGTTAATGTCAATTTCCCAGCCCTTCAGAAGCCACATTTGTCTTCTTTTGTCTTTCTTTTAGAAAGGCAGAGGATCTGTGTATGACACTATGCAGAGCCCGTGATGATGCACTGGCGAGTGCTTTGGCTTGGAGTCAGAACTCTCAGCTCCAGTACTTAGCAGCTGTGTAACCTCTGACAAGCCTCTCTAGCCAGTTTTCTGTTAAAATGAGCCAAGCATTTTCTACAACCGTCGTTTGGCACTCTAGGGGTTTCAGCTTGATGGCAAAGTGATGTGCTTGGTCCGAGGAGAGGAGCTGGGCGCCATCGGGAGATTTTCTCCACCAAAACGCACCGACTCCCGCCCCAGGCAAAGTCGTTAACTATTAGATCAAATGCTAGGGTGCGGGTTCAGCCACCAGGCACCCTGGGGATCGAGCGGCTGGCGGCCAGTGGGAGAGGCGTGGTCCTGAAAGTTCTACCCCTGCTCCTTTCCTGGAGCCAGGAAGCCGCGCGTCCCTTGGTTCGCTCCGCGCCGGCAGTTAGGAAAAGTCGGTGCCATCAACAAATATGGCCGCCATGCTAGCGTCAGCCCCGCTCTCGAGGCCGCGCTGCCGCCTGGGAATCGCGGACTTGGCGTCACCCGGCGCGGGGCCACGTGACGCGTTAGGCGCCCGAGGCGGTAGGGCTTGCGCAGGCGGAGCAGCAGCGGAGGCCTGAGTTGGGTGGGGGCTGCCCGGTGAGGTTTACCGGCGGTTCCCGACCTCGCGCGCACGTGGCCCCCTGCTCGCGCTCACAGTTCTGGGCGCTGCCGGTGAGGAACCGGGGAAGGGGCCAAGGGGAGTGGGAACGGGGCGCCCCTTCTGAGGCAGGGAGGGGACTTAACTGGCCCGGCCCCGCGGGAAGGGTAGTGGGCGCCGGGCCGCCGAGCCCCCTCCGCCCGCGCCGCAGACCCCGCGCTGGTCGCGGGTGCTTTTGGAGCCCCAGCCTACCCAGCGGGGCCAGCGGTGCAGGTGGACCCGACAGGGCCGAATGCCCGCCAGGAAGGCCCCACTGACCTCAGCCCCGCCCGCTCTGGTCGCCGCGGGCTGCTCCGTGGAGTTTATTTTCAGGCTTTTCTTTTAGAGTGGGAGCTGGAGGCAAGTCGGTGGGCTCCTTAGTTCTTTAGAAATAGGCTGGGTTGACGTCACAGGCACGAACAGGCAGTCTTGATTCCTCGGCGCGTGTGCCATATGCTCCTGGGAATCACTAGGCAGGAGGTTGAAGGAGACACAAGTATGAAAAGCTTAGAGTGCTCAATTTAGGAGAGAATCTCCTGTTTTGGAAAATTTCTTTTTTTTGGACAATTTTTTCTTTTTGGACAATTTTTTCACCAGCTAGTCTATGCGGATACTTTAACCATTTTATTTTGACATTCCGAGCTTTCTAAAATTTCTTGACAGCCAAATAGTAAGGCTGCTTGTAAGGAAATTTCTTATGTAGCGGTTGCCAGCTCACTGCATTTTATCCTTACCTGGGTTATATTGTGGATCCCATGACTTTCAAGCTGAAAAAATGAAAGTGTAAAGAGTCTTGAAAACCAAGCGTAGGTAAGGAGTTGGGAAGTATAGCTGTCATCCTTTCCCTAGCCCTCAGAAGAGGAAGTCACTCCAGACACCCAGAATCCCACGTTCATAGTCTCGGGGCCCCCATAATCTTAGTTGTCCGATTGAAATCTTACAATCCTGAGTGAAAAACTGCTTGTGATTGATTTGTTTTCATAGGAAAGGAATAATGCTGTCAGCATGTCTGCACACTCCATGCTCTGTGAACGCATCACCATAGCCAAGGAACTGATCAAGAGAGCAGAATCACTTTCCAGATCAAGAAAAGGGGGCATCGAAGGTGGTGCCAAGCTGTGCAGCAAGTTGAAGGCGGAATTAAAATTCTTACAGAAAGTAGAAGCTGGAAAAGTAGCTATTAAAGAGTCCCACTTGCAGAGCACTAACCTGACACACCTCAGAGCCATCGTGGAATCAGCAGAAAACCTGGAGGAAGTGGTCAGTGTTCTCCATGTCTTTGGTTACACAGACACCTTTGGAGAAAAGCAGACCCTTGTGGTGGATGTTGTTGCAAATGGTGGTCATACTTGGGTGAAAGCCATTGGCCGCAAGGCTGAAGCTCTGCATAACATTTGGCTGGGCAGGGGCCAGTATGGTGACAAAAGCATTATTGAGCAGGCTGAAGACTTCCTCCAGGCCAGTCACCAGCAGCCCGTGCAGTATAGCAACCCTCACATCATCTTTGCATTTTACAATAGCGTCTCCAGCCCCATGGCTGAGAAGCTGAAAGAAATGGGCATATCAGTGAGGGGGGACATAGTAGCAGTGAATTCTCTGTTAGATCACCCCGAAGAGCTCCAGCCCAGTGAGAGTGAATCAGGTGATGAGGGCCCTGAACTTTTGCAGGTGACCCGGGTAGACCGAGAAAACATCCTAGCAAGTGTCGCGTTTCCTACAGAAATCAAGGTGGATGTGTGCAAAAGAGTCAACCTGGACATTACTACTTTAATCACCTACGTATCTGCGCTCAGCTATGGAGGCTGCCACTTTATCTTCAAAGAAAAAGTGCTCACGGAACAAGCAGAGCAGGAGAGGAAAGAGCAGGTTCTGCCGCAGCTGGAGGCATTTATGAAGGACAAGGAGTTGTTTGCTTGCGAATCTGCTGTCAAGGATTTTCAGTCTATTCTAGATACCTTAGGAGGACCCGGGGAGAGAGAGCGAGCTGCGATGCTGATTAAGCGAATTAATGTGGTCCCAGACCAGCCTTCGGAGCGTGCCTTGAAACTAGTGGCTAGTTCAAAAATTAACAGCCGCTCATTAACAATTTTTGGGACAGGAGACACCCTGAAAGCCATTACAATGACTGCCAATAGTGGTTTTGTCCGGGCTGCCAACAACCAGGGTGTTAAGTTTAGTGTATTTATCCATCAGCCAAGAGCGCTTACTGAGAGCAAAGAGACCCTAGCTACCCCCTTACCAAAAGACTGCACAACTGACAATGAACACTAATGATATCCTTTATTGTCATGGAAATAAGTTATTTATACCAAAGGCTGTGTCTCCCTATCTTAATTGGAAAAAAAAAACTATGGTAAAATTAATACTTAGAACTCTTAATCAGTTGATGGTGTGTCTCATCTATAAAGTAAATAACCTAATGTAGAAAAAGCATAAGAGACAACCTTATTTATCAAACTGGCTACATTATAATTAGAACAGAAATACATCTCTGCAAGGCTTGTAGCTGTATCACAATACTTTGGTTTGTCTGATTCAGTAGGGCTCCATCTCCCGTAATGGTAATTGCATCTCTTTGACTGTGGCTACATTGCATCTTGCATTAAATATCGAGCAACCTCTGAAGCTTGTTTTTCATTATATTGATTTAGCATTTGATACGGGTTGAGCCTGGGAATTAATTGTTTACAGATAATTTTAGATTCCAAAATTATGGCCATTATTAACAAAAAAATACTGATTGCTATGTGTTAGGTGCAGTCTGGTGGTTATGTACATTGACATAGAAGGAAACAAAGTGAAGTCTGATCACAAGAGTCCCATGAATCTGAAATACCATTGTAAAAAGGTAGACAACAGTCATACTACTACACACCTAAGATGCTGGAAGATTAAATGTTAATTTGAATATAATGAAAAATATATAAAATAATTCAGATTTTACTTTTAAATATAAATAGCCCCCACATGGCCAGTATTTGGATTATGGATACTATTCTTGTGCAAGTGGCAAGGGATAGCCATGTTATCTCATTACATCTCTCATGAAATAGCCCCAGGGAGATTTCATGCCTGCTGCATGATACAATTGTAATTAAGAAAATTTTCATGTCCATATTGTGCTAGGTGTTTTATTAATGTGCAGCGAAAACAAATTAGCAAAGTAGATAATGTATTTACATTTTAAAAATTGGGACTTGAGTCTTAAAGCTGAGGTATTAACTTGTGCTGAGTGTAGGAACCAGTGTTAATGGCCTTTTCTACTGTGCCAACCCCTATTTTGTGAGTAAACTTGTTTCCAGCCACAGTGTTGAGTAGGTGAAATTTGATTGTTGGGGCCTGTGACAATGGAAATGAAATGCAAAATTAAGAGTATGGGATGCTTCTCTGGAGAGAGATTTTATTACTAAATGCATTTCCTAGGGGGAAATGGCTGTGATTGGGACTCCAATTTAGTGTAGAGAGGTAGATTTAACTCATTGCAACAGAAATTATCTAGGGTTAGAAATTGAACTTAGGCCTTCTCAAGCACCTATTAAAGTCCTAAAGTATTGATCCTTGGTACTATTAAGTACCTAGTGTTATAACAGTTATTGTCACAGAAGATGAATAATTGCTCTTTAAGGAGTTCTTAGTCTGGACTGGAGGTGAACAATTGAAGTATAATTAATGTGCTGAATTTTTGTAAATAATTATGTTTAAAATACTGTGGAAACAATAAGGGAGTAATTCTTGATGTGGGGGGCAGGAAGTCAGAGAGGAAGTAACCTCTGAGGGGTTTGGGTGTGAGATTTGACAAGAAGTATACAGGCATGGATGGGAAAGGTACAGAAGTCTTGACTGAGGTTCTGTCCAGAGCCCAGGCTTGTGGACACTCTAAAATTGGAGGTGAAGCTAGAAAAGCAGGCAAAGTTCTCTGAAGAGTTTGGCATTAGAGAGCCATTGGTGATTTTTAAGATCTGGTCATGATCAAATCCCTTAGGAAAACAACAAAAACTTGTAGTGTGGAGGAATAATTAAATGAAGGAAAGATAGGATTATAAAAATGATAGTGCAATATGGTGGAATATAGTCATGGCTCTATACTAGATTCATTCAAGGCGTGCGTGCTCAGTTGTGTCCAACTCATTGTGACCCCCATGGACTGTAGCCTGCCAGGCTCCTCTGTCCATGGGATTTTCCAGGCAAGAATACTGGAGTGGGTTGCCATTTCCTTCTCCAGGGGATCTTTGCAACCCAGGGATTGAACCCTGACTGCAGGTGGCTTCTTTACCGCTGAGCTCCTGGGGGAAGCCCATTCAAGGCAGTTGTCCTAATACTTATTCCTTTGTTGAATAGACATTTATCAAGTGCCTGCCATGTCAGATGGCATGCAATATAATTTTGGATGTCAAACAGGAAATACAACCAATACTAAAAAGTAAACCAAACTGAATCACTTGCAAGCGAGGGGCCAGGTTGGAGAATAAATGTGGTCCAGATAGTAAGAGAAGACAAGTAAAAAGAATTCTCAAGGGAAGCAATAAAACCAGAAAGCACAACATAAAGAGTTACAAGATCAAGAAGGATATAAAACAGCTTTGGAGAAGATTAATTATATGGAAATATACAATAGTGAAAGTGAAGTCGCTCAGTCTTGTCTGACTCTTTGTGACCCTGTGGACTGTAGCCTACCAGGTTCCGCCATCCATGGGATTCTCCAGGCAAGAGTACTGGAGTGGGTTGCCATTTCCTTCTCCAGGGGCTCTTCCTGACCCAGGGATCAAACCCGGGTCTCCTGCATTGCAGGCAGATGCTTTACGGCCTAAGCCACCAGCGAAGCCCCCAAAATATTCAATAACTATATACTATTTTAGTAAGCTTAGAAGTTAGCCATGCTCCCTATCAGTTGAGATGCCATCTCTCATTAAATTCTAAATCAGCTCAGAGAACAGATGTTTATTATTTTTCTAACATCATGTGACTGATTCTGGAGGAGCCAAGAGAGTCTTTGGAATAAATTGATTAAAAGATACTTCAAAATGTCAAAAACATTATTTTCTTAGAGAATAGTTAAAATTGAAGAAGAACTAGAAAACCTACTTAACCCATAGTCATTGAGAAAATTGTTAAAATAGTTAATGACCTCCCCCAAGTTTCCGGGTCCAGTTAACCTCCTTTAGGTCAGTTTTGCTTATGTTTAAATGTGAAATAATCTTGCTCTGAAAAATACTACAGGCAAACTGTACCTGACACATGACAGACACTTGATAAATGCATATTAAATGAGTGAGTATCATGTCAGTTCTGCCCTAAAGAATTTGCGGTGATGAAAATGTTTTGGAATTAGATAAAGTTGGTAGTTACACAACATTATGAATGTAGGCCAGTTACTTTTATGTTTTCTGAATTTCACATCAATTTAAAAAATAGTACCCTGTACGTAGGGTAGAAATATTTCGAGTATGTGTTCCATTTACTCCCCCTCCTTTGCCCCAAAATGAGAACTTTGGCTGTTCCTGTTTGAGGACAGGGCCCTTGTGAAGGCCTCCAGCGCTGTGGCTATATCTTAATCATTGTGTGTGTGTGTGTTTAGTTGTGTCCAACTCTTTGGGACGCCATGGATTGTAGTCCGCCAGGCTTCTCTATCCATGGAGTTCTCCAGGCAAGAATACTACAGTAGGTTGCCATGTCCTCCTTCAGGGGATCTTCCCAACCCAGGGATCGAACCCCAGTCTCTTAGGTCTCCTTCATTGACAGGCTGGTTCTTTACCACTAGCGCCACCTGGGAAGCCTCCAGATACACTACCAGTCAGTTAAGTCATTTGTACACCTGATTTGCTTTGAATTACTTTACACTTTCTGACTGTTTTTCTTAATATGTTTCTCCATTTTTTATTGACTTACATGTACTCTTTGTTTAGTATGGACATGAGTCTTTTATCTATAGTGCATTGCTAAATCTTCCAGTTTGCCTTTGTGTGTGTGTGTGTGTGTGTGTGACTGGGGAAGTGCTGTTATGTTTATGAAACCCTATTTCCTTTCTCTCCTGAGCACACAGTGGAAGCGTATCTCTCAACCTGCTCTGAAATGAGTTGCGGCCGTGGACTGTGGGTGGGGCATATGCACTGCTTCCAGGCTTGGCTCTAGACCTTCCATGATCCTTTGCACTCTTCTCATTTATAATCAGATGCTAAAGATTCTGTGGTGGATTCTGATCCTGGGAGCACTTCTGCTGGGTGGAATCGAATCACGCTCCCAGTTTTTCTTCATTGATGAACTCCATGCAGGTTTTAGGGGCATTAAATTATCATATCATTGTAGTTTGAAAGGACTTCTTTGGATGTGACCTATTCTTTTCAGTCTCTTTCCAGAGCTTTGGCTGACCCTTTGGATCTTCCTAAGAAGAAAGCGGTATAGACATTCATATGAAAAGATTTTCCAATTTAGACATTAGGATTATCCCAGGAGATAAACACTTTTAATCTGAAAGCTTTCATTCCAGGAAATAATTTTTTTTGTTTTTTGCTTCTCCACCTCTCAGATACATCATCACAAGGGCTTAAGGGGTCATGCAAAATGACTAGAATTCTAAACTAAAACTAATTTCAAATGGAGCACTGTATTTTATTTCTCTGATGACAACTGTATCTGCCAGTGAGGTGTATAGCAAGCAATCCACACCTGCAGCACAGACCCAGCGTTGCACGCATGCATGTGTACACTGGCATGGTTTTCTCCCTTTAAGTACCCAACCCCCCAACTGTAAGTAATTGTTTTCAGAACTGTATTCACTAAGGAAAATAAGTGTCCATAATATTCAGGGTGGAATTCTTCAGTGAGTCACGTGTGTGTGTTTATGTGTGTGTGGCATGCATGCTCAGTCATGTCTGACTCTGTGACTCCATAGACTGTAGCCCGTTAGGCTCCTCTGTCCATGGAATTTTTCAGGCAAGTATACTGGAATGGATTGCCATATCCTACTTCAGGGGATCTCCCCGACCCAGGGATTGAACCCGTGTCACCGTGGTTCCTGCATTGGCAGGTGGATTCTCTACCACTAGTGCCACCTGGGAAGCCAGTCTGTGTGTGGAACGGAGACTAACAGTGGTTCCTAAAATCTCCAGCTCAGACAAAAAGGCGAAGAGTCTCTGACACTTCTCCTGGGATACTTCACAGAGAAAAGAATTTTTAGCCAGTAGGACCCTTAGAAGATGATGATGATGACAATAGTAATAATGCTGATATCAGTATAACAAAACTGTCCTATCTAGGCCTCATTTAGTCATTTA